GGGAGATCTCGGGGCGCTGGGAGTCCCCTGCCCAGGCCTAATGCCTTGGCCAGAGGCGTTAGGCCTGGGCAGGGGCAGAGCCTGCAACCGTGGGGAGCTGGGGGTCCCCTGCCCAGGCCTGACACCTCTGCCGGAGGCCTCAGGCCTGGTCAAGGGGCCGATCCGGTGATTGGTGATCGGAGGGTGATGAGGATCAACTCCTCTGGCCGAGGCATCAGGCCTAGGCCGGGGACTGGGGGTCCCCTGCCCAGGCCTGATGCCTGGGCCAGAGGCATCAGGCCAGGGCTGGGGGCAGAACCAGTGATGGGGGGGAATGAGGGTCCCCTGCCCAGGCCTGACGCCTCTGGGCAAGGGGCCCCGATCCTGCTTGGAGATTGATGGGGGTCAATGCCTGAGGGCTCTCAGTATGTGAGAGGGGGCAGACTGGGCTGAGGGACACTCCCCCTCACCCCCACCCAGTGCACGAATTTCGTGCACCGGGCCCCTAGTCTATAATAAAAGCGTAATATGCTAATTAAACCAGACATCCTTCTAGACGTCTTTCCATCCAGACAAATCTGTGCTGGGCAGGGGCCGGGGCCAAGGCACTTGCACGAATTTCATGCATCAGGCCTCTAGTAATTAATAAATGTTGTCACTGTTGTTTAGGATCTTAGACTCTTATAGAGAGAGTAAAGTGTGTTAGTAAATATATGTATATTGGTTTATGGTACTGAGGAGAAAGTGCAAGCAGTGTCTGAAGAATGGGAAAATCCTATATAATAAAAGCCTAATGTGCTAAGTGTCTGCTCATCCGTTCAACCCATCAAAGCATAATATGCTAATGATATGCTAACGCTGCTCAACCACTCGCTATGACATGAACTGACCACCACGGGACAGTCGGCTAGTCACTATGACATGTACTGACCACCAGAGAGAAGATGCTCCAAATGATAGGTTAGCTTGCTGCTGGGGTCCAGCTGATCGGGACTGAGCAAGACGGGCTGGACATGCCCTGGACCCTCCCATGGTCCCTCCCCAGATGGCCAACCTCCCGCGTCCTTCCCCAGCCCTGATCGTGCACTAGTGGGGAACCTTGGCCTGGTCTGCACCCTCTCATAATCCAGGACCACTCAGGAGATGTTAGAGAGCTGGTTTTGGCCTGATCCCGCAGGCCAGGCTGAGGGACCCCACTGGTGCACAAATTCGTGCACCGGGCCTCTAGTAGACTATAAATCTCACCTGATAAAACGAATGCACTCTCTCAGATAGGAGACTCAATTCTGTGTGATATCATTTTAGAATGTTCTACAACTGAGAGCCCTATCAACATGGCTAATCAGCAGAGGTGCCAACTTGAGTATTTCTGAGGATGTATTATACCATCCTGTCTTCAAATCTATTTCTGTTATGCTGCATATATGGGATTCTGTGAGTCATTACCTCTACCTAAGGTTTCTTTAAAAGTTGCTTCCGGGTATGTTACTTTTTCTCTAAATTTCCTGCATGAAACAAGAGTTCTGAATTCAAATGAAATGCACAGTGGAATAAGCAAAGTAAATTTAACTTACTTTGTATCTCTTAAAAAAAAGAAGAAATGAGAAAGAAATTTTTAAAACCAGACCAGAATTCACAAGTGACCTAGAACATTGAGCAGCATGAACCCCCCAGTGAATATAATTAGCCCTGGCAATGGGCTTCCTTGGAGGATAAGGATCTCCATTTAATGAATATTTACATGGCTGGGACCTAGGGGAATTTATGTCCACACTCCCAGCCTCGGTTTACTTTTTTTCAGAAATTGAGAGAATTTGACTCACTGTTTTCCAGGAGACTCTAGCTCTGCAATGTTCAAGTACCACTATGTGCAAAGCACCCTGCTAGGAATGATGAGAGATACAAAAATGCCCTCTGTAGTACTTATCCACTTTGGGCTTTAGTTTTCTCACATGTAAAACTGGGTGGATGTGAGGATTCAGGATGTACTTGTTTTGTTTATTTATTAATTAAAATTTTTATCCAGTTAATTGGGGTGACATTGGTTAATAAAATTATACAGGTTTCAGGTATACATTTTTACAATACATCATCTGTATATTGCATTGTATGTTTACCACTCAAGTCAACTCTCCTTCCATCACCATTTATCCCCCTTTTATCCTCTTCTACCTCCCTCCACCCCACTTCCGTCTGGCAGTCTCCATACTATGTCTGTGCTCAGGAGTCTTTTTATTTTCTCTTTCCTTAATCCCTTCACCAATCTCATTCAGCCTTGTAGTGTGGTTTGATATCATGATTCCTTTAACTCTTCTTCTTTCTCAAGATTGCTGTGGCGTATTTGGGGTCTTTTGCGGTTCCATTTAAATTTTTGGAGTGTTTGTTCTAGGTCTGTGAAATATGCCGTTGGTGTTTTAATAGAAATTGCATTGAATCTGTAGGTTACTTTGGGTAGTATGGACATTTTAACGATGTTGAGTCTACCAATCCATAAAGTGGTATATTTTCCCACTTGTTTATATCTTCCTCTACCTCTTTTCTTAACCTCCTGTAGTTTTCAGAGTACAGGTCTTTTAGCTCCTTGGTTAAGTTTATTCTTAAGTATATCGATTTTTTTGTTGCAATGGTAAATGGGTCTTTTTTTTTAGTTTCCCTTTCTGAGAGTTCATTATCCTACATAATAAAAGCCTACTATGCTAAGTGTTCAGTCATCCAGTTGGCTGTTCAACCAATCAAAGCATAATATGCTAATGATATGCTAAGGCCACTCAACCACTCACTATGATGTGCACTGGCCACCAGGGGGAAGATGCTCTGACCAGTAGGTAAACTTGCTGCTGGGGTCCGGCCCACTGGGACTAGGCAAGATGGGCTGGACATGCCCTGGAGCACTCCTGCAATCCCTGTCTGGCCCCGATTGTGCACCCTCAGCCTGTCCTGCACCCTCTCACAATCTGGTACCACTCGGGGGATGTCAGAGATTGGTTTTGGCCCAATCCCACAGGCCAGGCCGAGGGACTGCACTGGTGCACGAATTTGTGCACCGGGCCTTTAGTTGGTGTATAAAATGCCATGCATTTTGGGGTGTTAATTTTGTATCCTGCTACGTTTCTAAATTCATTTACTAATTCTAGTTTTTTGGTGGTCTTTAGGTTTTTCTTATGTACAGTATCATGCCATCTGGAAATAATGAGAGTTTTACTTCTTCCTTTCCAATTTGGATGCCTTTTATTTCTTCTTCTTTTCTGATCACTGTGGCTAGCACGTCCAGTGCTATGTTGAATAAGCATGGTGAAAGCAGACATCCCTGTGTTTCTGATCTGAGGGAAAACACTTTTAGTTTTTGCCCATTGAGTATGATGTTGGCTATGGGTTTGTCATATATGGCCTGTATTATGTTGAGATATGTTGCCTCTATTCTCACTTTGCTGAGAGTTTTTATCATAAATGGGTACTGGATTTTATCAAATGCTTTTTGTGCATTTATTGATATGATCATATTGTTTATGTGGTATACCACACTTATTGATTTGCGGATATTGTACTTACTTTGCACCCCTGGAATAAATCGCCCTTGAGCATGGTGTATGATCTTTTTAATGTATTGCTGGATTTGATTTACTAATACTTTACTGAGAATTTTAGCATCTATGCTCATCAGGGATATTTACCTATAATTTTCTTTCTTTGTAGTGTCTTTATATGATTTTGGAATTAAGATAATGCTGACCTTGTAAAATGTGCTTAGGAGTCTTACCTTCTCTTGAATTTTTTGGCATAGTTTCAGAAAGCTAGGTGTCAGTTCTTTGAATGTTTGGTAAAATTCACCTGTGAAGCCCAGCAGGTTCAGGACTTTGGTTTGTTGAGATTTTTTTTATTATTCCCTCAGTTTCACTGGTTGTGATCTGTCTATTCAGATTATCCGATTCTTCCTGATTCTGTTTTTGGAAAATTATACGTGTCTGGTTAGATTGTCCAATTTGTTGGCATATAGTTGTTCATAATATGTTCTTACAATTCTTTGTGTTTCTTTTGTGTCCATTGTTGCTCCTCCTCTTTCATGTCTGATTTTATTTTTGGGGGCTCTCTCTCTCTCTCTCTCTCTCACTTTAATATATTTTTATTGATTTCAGAGAGGAAGGTAGAGGGAGAAAGAGATAGAAACATCAATGATGAGAGAGACTCATTGATTGGCTGCCTCCTGCATGGCCCCTTCTGGGGATTGGGCCTGCAACCCAGGCATGTACCCCTGACTGGAATTGAACCCGGAACCTTTAAGTCCATAGGTGGGACCTCTAACCACTGAGACAAACCACCTAGGGCCTCTCTCTTTTTTCTTGAGGAGTCTACTTATAGATTTGTTGATCTTTATATTTTCACAGGACCTGCTCTTGGTTTCACTGATCTTTTGTATTTTTTTTCCAACTCAATTTATTTCACCTCTGGTTTTTATTATTTCCATCCTGTCCTTCTACTCACTTTGGGATTTGCTTGTTCTTTTTTCAGTATCTTAAGTATAAAGTTAGATTGTTTATTTGAGATTTTTCTTGTTTCTTGAGGTAGCCTGTAATGCTATGAATTTTGCTCCTAGGACTGCTTTCCCTGTGTCCCATAGATTTTTGGTTGTTGTGTTCTCATTTTCATTTTTTTCAATGTATCTTTTTATTTTTTTTTTCTTGATCTCATTGTTAACCCATTCATTGTTTAGTAACACAATATTTAGCCTACATATCTTTATGTATTTTTCACTTGTTTTCTTGTGATTGATGTTTGAAAGTGCTCTCTACCTCCTATCTAATATCTCTAAAAAAGAATTAATAAACTCATAGGGTGTTGAGATGCTCATCTTTTCAATGTAAATATTAGTGCACATGTGAGAGATGACTCCATTGCATTTATTTTTTAGCAGCATGAATTCAATGACTTCAGCAGGCCCCCAGGCCAATACTGTGTTTATGATGGCACCCCACAATGGATATCCTGTGGTCCCAGGAAGCATGTCTCAGGTGCCCCAATATCCACTCAACCAGCCCCAAATCCACACAATTTCTGGGAATCTACATGGTTTGGAGCCGCCTGTATATACGCAACCTGACCAGAGATCCTTTAAAGCGGGAAAGGTTTTAGGGGTAAGTGAGATTTCACACCGCGTGTACTGGCCACATGGCTGGAATCAGTGCAGGGAAGAAGGTTTAGAAACACAGAAACTCCAAATTCAGCAAGTGGGGCTGGCGTTGACCCAGCCTTGCCAAACTCAGGTCTATTAAAAAACTCAGCTGTGTAGCATTATCAGCTATCTATCTATCTATCTTGGGCATTTTAGGAAAGAGAAGGAAAAGCAACAAAGAAGCAGTAAATCGGAATGTTGGTCCTGTTGCCAGAATCCATGTTGACCCATGTGGCCTCTGGAAGAAGGTGGGCCCAGCCAGACAAAAGGTGGATTCTAGACCCAATTTGTTTGAATGGAATCTTTCTCCAATGGGAACAAGATAAGAGCTCACACTGATGTTCCCCCAAAATGGCTGTCCTGTGTGGGAAAAGGGGAAGCCCATTTCATTGCATGGTTGAATGATGACCATGGATTCTGATCCAGGATGCTCAGGTTGAAATCCTAGCTCCCCCCACCCAATATACTACTCATAGTAATGTCAAACGATATAAAAATACCCAATAATCGCATTTATGAGACTTTGTCCTGCAGCCATGCCGGACACAGGGGAAATATGACATGTATGAGGTTTTTTATTGCAGCATGTCTTGTGATAGAAAAAGAACAGAAATAACCGAAATACCCATCAATGTAATACTGGTTATATCAATGTATTGTACATCCAAAGAAAGAAATGTGGAGCTAAAAGAAGAAACCTCCTTGTACAATGATATGGACATATCCACAAGCTGTATAATTAATGGGGAGGGGGGGAGGCGCAGATAGGAAGGTTAAGAGCAGACATGGCATGTAATTTGCTACCATTTGTGCAAGTTTAAGAAAATAATGTACTTGTATTCACTGCCATTTTTGTAGTATGTACACATATACATATACATATACATATGCATGTGTATATACCATTTGGCTAAGAATATGTATTAGTTTCCTGGAGCTGCCATAATACAGTGCTGCAAATGAGGTGGCTTAAAACACTCAGAAATGTACTGTCTCACCGTTCCAGAGGCCAGAAGTTTGTGATCATAGTATCCATGGGGCCATGCTCCCTCTGAAGGCTCTAGGGGTGGATCTGTTCCAGGCCAGTTTCCCAGCTTCCAGTAGGTCCTTGGCTTGTGGCAGCATAACTCCCATCTTGGCATTCTCCTGTGTGCTCTGTGACTCTTCACATGGCTTTCCTTTAAAATGATAGCAGTCATGTTGGGACCATCCTATTCCAGTGCACTTCATTTTACCTAATTACATCAGCAGCAACCCTATTTCCAAATGATATCTCATTCTGAGGCCCTGGGGGCTTGAACTTCAAGATATTCATTGATGGGGGAGATGCAGATAAATTTCTATCCTAAACAATATCACCAAAATAACAGAAGAGCACAAAGACTTATCTACAAAGATGTTTAACTAAGTGTTGTGTATCATATGAAAACAGAAACAATCTTACCTGCCCATTATCTCTGTTCCAACTACTTCACAGATCATCCATGCAATGGAATGTGGGAAATCCTTAAAAAGCAAATGTTTAAAGAATACTTAATACCATGGGGACGTGTTCAGGATGGAATATTATTAAGTTAAATATGCAGGGCCATTTTGAATACACTATATATTTTTGAAACACACACACACACACACACACACACACAAAACAATGGAGGGTTATACACCGAAATGTAAGTGATTGTAGTTCTTTGAGTTGGGGAAAATTATGGCACGTTTTATTTTTATATTATTCATATAATGTTTTAGACCAAGAAAAGGAAATATTTTTTAAAATAAAAAGGAGGCCAAGCAGTGTGAGGGGTGGTGGGCTGTGGGTAGGCTCCAGCCTCAGAAACAAAGGTCTCAACTTCTGGCTCCCTTGACAGGCCATCCAAATCCTGATCGGCCTGATACACATTGGCCTGGGCAACATCATGGGGACCATCATCCCTGGGGGCTACACCGCTGTCTCATTCCAGGGAGGCTATCCCTTCTGGGGAGGCATCTTGGTAAGTAATGTCAGTGGCCCTGCAAGTGAGTTCCAGAAAGTGCCAACACACTGGCAAGTTGTGTCCTTTGCTACAGAAGTTTTCCTGCCAAGAGAGCACATGGACTGTGAGCCCAGCTCAGGCCTTGTTCACCAAGAACTTTAGTCCATGTGGGCAGCCAGAACAAATAGCACAGACTCAGTGGCTAAACAACAGACATTTATTATCTCATAGCTCTGGATGCTGGAAGTCCAAGATCAAGGTGTGGGCAGGGTTGTTTCTGCTGAGGCCTCGCTTCTTGGTGTGTAGGTGACTGTCTTCCTTCCTGTGTCTTCACATGGTCTTCCCTTTCTGTGTGTCTCTGTCCTCATATCTCTTCTTATAAGAACATCAGTTATATTGGATTAGAACCCACCGATAGGACCTCATTTAACCTTAATCACCTCTTCAAAGGCCTTATCTTCAAATACAATGCTCCTCAACTAATGATGCAGTTACATCTCAATAATCCATCGTAAATTGAAAATATCCTGCGTCAAAAGTGCATTAAATACTACACTGTAGAGAATGGGTTGTTTACCCTCATGATTACATGGCTGACAGGGAGCTGAGGCTGACTACTTCTGTCCAGCATCACCAGGGAGTATCTTAGCACATATAACTCACCGGGAAAAGATCAAAATTCAAAATCCAAAGAACAATTTCTACTGAATGCATATCATTTTCACACCATTGTAAAGTAAAAATAAAATAAGGCCAACTATAGTGAGTCTGGAAACAGCTACACAGTCACATTTGGAGGTCCTGGGTGCTAACACTGCAAAAGATGGATTACGAGGAGACAAAATTCAGATCATAAACCAAGTGACAGCCCTGTAAGGTGCCATTGCCCCACAGCGGGCACCTTTGCTAAATGAGCCCAACTCAAAGGTCAGGAAACCTTTTTCTACCCATCAGCCAAGCACTCACATGTTCTTCAACGCAAGCCCAAGGCCAGAGCTCAAGAAGAAAAATGTTTTCCCCAGGAGTTAAGTTTGGCTTCCCAGCCACAGAACAGTCATTAAAATTAAACAGTAGGGACTCAACCTGGAATCCACAGATTAGTATTTTGTAGTAACATATTAGATTTTTTTCTAAAAAGCCCATAGTTTTTAATCACATTCTCAGGGTGATCTGGAACCTCTTAGAAGGTTAAGATCCACAGGTCCTTTCTCTTCTCCAATGTATTGCCTTTATGGTCCTTTTACATTCTTCCTAGTGCCCTTTCTGTTCAGCACAGACCCAAACTTGGAACTCAGCCAACCACAGACACCTGTGTGTATAACAGACTTCTGTGGAGTTGGGAAAATGGAGAAAACTAACACTACAGCCACAAAACAGTTCCAACTGAGTGTTAGATTCTCTTAAGGCATCTCAAAGGCCTTGGTGGCCATCTCCCCTTCCATCAGGCTGCTCAGGTCCCATCAGCCCTCATGACACCACCCTCCCTTTTCCCTGTAGGGCACTTTTGCTCTTCATTGCCCTACTGACTCTAGGACTATCTATTTTCTAAATATCATATGGTCCTCCTCCAAACCAAAGGCCCTCTTCTTAGGCACCTTAAAAGGACCAGCAGGGACACCAGAAATCTAGCCTTCTGTTTCCTTCCTTTCCTACAAAGTCTGCAGAAAACATAAAATTGAGACTAATTTTCCCACATATAGGAAAAATGGCATTCTTCTTACAAGGCACAGGTGGTTAGAGTAAGTTTTCATTGTGAATACTCATTTCCATTCCAAGACACAGGCATCTACTCTTAGGTGGAATGAGTGCAGGATGAGGGTTAAGAACATGAGATCTGGAGTCAATTACCTGGATTTGATTCTCAGATATGCTATTTGCTGGATGGTCTTGGGTGTGTCTTTTAAAATTTCTAAGCCTCAGTCCACACCCCCTTAAACTGGGAATAATAATGGTGCTTGGTGGGCCATCATGGAGTTAAGCAAGGCAAAATTAAAAGCACTTCATGTAGGGCTGAGCAAAGCTTCCATTAAACCATAGCTGATGTCCTTTCAGACTGTCACTGACAGCAGGGAATCCCATCAGCCACTATGCCTGCAGAACGTCAGTGTTGAAATAAATGCACACAGTCTACCCTGTAGCCCTCATAGTTGATCTTTGCCATCACAGAAATGCAACATTTTTCTGATTAACTAAAGACACTCACCAAATTGTAGATAGGTAAGGACTAATGTTGGGCTTATCTCCAAAAGCAGTGAAAATACAAACCCCTTCCTTCTTCCCTCAAGAGCCCCCATGCCTGAGTGAATCCTTTTATAAGGCCAACAAGATGTGCATGTGGGAAAATAAAAGGCAAGAAAAGGAGAAATTTTATTGGGTATCTACCATGTACAGGATCTACCATGGGCAAGATATACCAAATGCTATATGCAAGGGACTGATTATCTCAATAAAGATTAGGAAGACAAATAGTTTTTCCAATTTTTTGAAGAGGAAATATACACTTAGAGAAATTAATAACTTACCCAAGATCACATGAGTTTCAAGTTAGAGTTTAAAACCAGGTAAAGTGGGTTCTAAAATATATATTTTCCCAATTCACTGCCCTGTCAGGGGTGCAAAATAGTCTTTCCTTCTTTCCTCCCTCCCTCTCCTCCTTCCTTTCCTCCTTCTTTTCTATTCTCTCTCTCTCTCTCTCTCTCTCTCTCTCTCTCTCTCTCTCTCTCTCTCTCTCTCTCCTCAGTTGAGTGGGAGGTCCCAGCAGAGGATCCTAGCGTTTATGAGAGTATATATGTGTGATAAGAAACACAGAAGCCTGAAGGTGGGGCCCTGACCCAACCTCTTTCTAAACGCCCTCTCTTCTGTGCCAGTTTGTCATTTCAGGATCCCTCTCAGTGGCATCAGAACACCTACCAAGATCTTCTTGCCTGGTAAGTCCCTTCTTGAGACAGGCTCTCCCAGCTGTGGACCCTTAGGAGAGACACACAACAGGGGAAAGTAGCTCACACACAATGCCTCCCTCATCCTTGAACCTGCTTATAACCAGACACAGGGCACTGACATGCATGCTCATTTACAGGACCACATGAACCTGACCA